GCGTCGCGGCTTCCTCCTCCTCCTCCTCCTCCTCCTCCTCCTCCTCTCGACGCTCGTCCTCCTTGCTCCCTTTTTTGGGCCCCGCGCCCTCGCGGGGCGCGCGCGTGGCCAATCAAGAAACCCAGAAATCCTCGCTCCCTTTTCCTTCTGATCTATTCCTCCCTGTCGCATTCCCAGGCGTGTTGGCAGGGTCGGCTGGGCGTTTCGCCTGAGACCTCCCCTCCATGGATGATCTTCAATGCGCAACAGGTTCAACTAATGAGGGTGGGTTCTTTTCAGGCTGGCTCTCGCATTAGCGCCGCGCTCATTCGTTTCAAAAGCTTGCGACGGTTTCAAGGATGGATGGCGGGCGGTTTTCAACATTTGGTTCTAGCCTCAGCGCCGTGCACATTCGGTTGAAACAAGTGAAGCACTTTCAAGGATGGATGGTGTTTCCTTTTCAAGACGTGCTTCTCGCGCGAGTTTCCGCGCATATAAGGTTGAAAGCTTGCGAGAGTTAACACAAAGATGGAGGGCAGTTCTTTTTTTAAATGTGCTTTTCGCCTTGGCGCCGCGCGCATGTCTTCAAATTCTAGACGCTTCGCGTAACCCCACCAGCCAGCGTGAAGCCCCATGGACGGACTCAGATTGGAAAGGAAAGGGCAAGCGGTACTTCCTTAGGGGGGACGACCGATACTCGGACAAGCGCGCCCGCTGGTGGGCAAAAAACGACTCCTACATCCAAGGCTGACTGTGCCGGACACGGCCCACCTCAGCATCCCAGGGCTTCCTGCCCAAGGAAACCTGTCCCCCTCCTCAACGGCTCCTCTCTGCCCCGAAGGGGCCAGTTTCACCTCGCCGCGCCCGGCTCAGGCCGTAATACCTGGGGGCAACCTCCGCTGGGGCGTAGGCTAGCCCCACATCTCACCCACGGCGCGGCATTGCTAGACAGCCCACTTTGGACAAGTGGACCTACCCTCCTTTTCGGGCTAGCGCGGAGGGTCTCCCACCCCAGTACCCGACATCTCACCCTCTCGGGCACGGCGGGGACGGCCCGGCCCGGGCAGACAGGCCCCCGGCTCATGTATTTTGCTGTCCGACGACGACAGCCAACCCGCCCGCCTGAGGCGGGGGGGCGGCCACTGGACCCCCCCTCCCCCCTGCGCGGCGGCAGGCACGACCCAGCCAGGTCACAGTTTTGGCAAGTACTGATTTCAGCGGCGGTCAGGTGCGACCCTGGAGGACCAACGCCCACCATCCCCGCCGAGGCATCACTCTCCGCGGGAACGGACCAACACCCAGCGCAGCCTGAGGTCCACGCAGGACCCCACCTCCCTCGGCTTCATAACCTTCCAAGGCCCACCCACCATCTCATTGTCTTGAGCGGCGATCAGCTGCGACTCTGGAGGAACCAATAACCACTCACCCTGTCCCACGGGTGCGGGGCCAGACCGAGGGAAGGGGCGGCTTTCCCCCCGCCTCTCTCCTCTAGGGCCAGGCGGGTGTCCGCCGCTCTTGGCCCCGGGGCCCGCCTGACGTTCTGACCGGCGTTGGTGCTGCTGCCCCCCTTCCTTGGGCCGCCTGTGTCCCTCGCAGTTCGTGTTTTGTCTCATCACGCTCAGCGGTGGGCAGCTGCGGCCCCGGAGGGCCACGTGGTGTTTGTTGACGTTCCGGGAGCTTTGGCGGAAGTGCCAGCGGCGGGTTGGGTCTGACTTTGAGTCCGATGGCCCTGTGTCTACCACTGTGCAACTCCCCCCTGGCCCGTCGCCCTACGACAACGGCACGCCCCGCTCGCACTGGCACCGCGTGCCCCGTGAGGTACAGCTCGACCAGTCTCTTGGGAACTCACCTGCTCTGGTCCTGTTGTGCCGTCGCGGCACCAGCACCTCCAGTGCAGCTCCCCTTCCCTTTCCTCGCTGGCGATGCTGTCCACGCCAGCGGGTTTCTTTCCCACTCAGTGGCCAGGCCTCGCCGGCACGCGCTGCGTGGCTCACAGTCGCTCGGTTACCCCCGTGCACTGTGGGGTGGTCTGGCAGGGGCTGGCCTTGGTGCAGAGTGGTTCAGCCTTCCGCAACAGGTACTTAGTACTGCCCTCTACCCTCAGCTTCCCCAGTTGTGTTGCACCACGGCTCTCGACTGCTCAGCCTGTCTGGCTGGGTCTGGTCGTCAGGGCGTTTGGAGCCTGGCGCCCCATCGGCGACTCACTCCAGTGGCCGCATTTGCCATCCCCCAGCACGTCGGGCTTGACCAAGGTGGTCCTCGTCCTTGTGTTGGCGGCGCCATGGCAAGCCTTGAATTCCGGGACAGTTTGTCCGGTGCACGTGCTCGAGCTTGCAGGGCGATGTCCGCTGTCAGCTCCACCCCCCTCAGCTTCGCAGCTGCTGTCTGAGTGGGCTGGCCGGCTTGCGCCTGTCTTAGCTAATTCGCCTAGTTCGCGTCCCGGACTTTGCTCTTGCCGCCTGACCGTCGTCTCGCGGCCGCGACCGAAAAGTAACCCCAGCGTTCTCTCTACCAGACTGCGACCGTCCCGCGCGCGAGGCCGCAGGGCCCCCCCCCCCCCGGCCCAGGGCGCTGGTCTGCTGACATCCCCCTCCGTGGGGGTCTCTCTCCCTGGCCGCCCTGGCGGTCCGCGCATCGCGTCCCGCCTGCCGCCTGCCTCCACTCCCCGCACGGGGTCGACGGACACCTGGTCTTCCCCCGCCGCCGCTCATCCAATGCAGTCTGTGCTGTGCCTCCTGCCCCTGGGCGGCGCGTGCCGTTCGCACCCGCCTTTCGGCTCTTCCCCTCCCGTCGCCTGTCCTTCCGCCACTTGCAGCGTGGTCTGGTCATGCCTGCCAGCTGCCCCCCTGGCACCTCTCGGTGTCTGGAGATCCAGATCGTTTCCGTTGAGTGCCCGCGTGCCTAGTCTTTCCTCTGTGACGGTGGCCTGCCGTCGTGCGTTCCGCACCCCTCGTCCTGACCTGGGCTGGCTGTGCGACTTGCCGGCGGTCTTCCTCGTCACGGACGTGATTGGCTACCCGAATTACCACCTGGTGTTGCACGTCGCCCGGATGGACATCCAGGCGTGCGCTCTCCATTGAGCGGCAGCGTGGCTCGCCTACTGTTAGCCTCTTCCCCTGCTTGGTCTTGTCCTCTTTTGCGCCCTCCCTCTTCTTTTGCGCTAATTCAGGCCGTTGCTAGTCGGCGCCGCCCCATTGACGCCGCCCGACCTACTCCTCGCTGCGGTCGCGATCAAAAAAACCCACCAGCCCATCCAGAAACGATGTCCAGAGGAATTGCCTCGATCAGGGAAGTGGGCAGCGCGCAGAGGACGGGCCCCCCAGTGGAGGCCTCTTGGAGCGTCTTGGGGGCCTCTTGGCGGTCCTGGGCGCCTCTTAGAGCGTCTTGGGTGCTTCGGGGAGCTTCTTGGGGCCTCTTGGGGGTCTCTTGGGAGCCTCTTGGAGGCCTCCTGGGCGCCCGCTGCGGCCTCCGTGGGCCTCCTGGGCGCCTCTTGGGGCCCTCTCGTGGGGCCCTCTCGAAGCGCTTTTGGAAGCTTTGGGAACGACCTTGGAACCCTCTTGGGCCATCTTGGGCCATCTTGGGCCATCTTGAGGCCTCGGCGATAAAGCCAAAAACATGAATCTTCCTACGGTGCTGGAAGGTTTTTGGCCTCTACGGGGTCTCCTAGGGGAGCTCTTTGGCCACTTGGAGCCGTCTTGGAGCGGTCCTGGGGCCTCTTGGGGCATCGTGGGAACCATCTTGAGGCATCTTGGGATATCTTGAGCCATCTTGGAGGTCATCTTGGGCTCTCCCAGGCGCTCTTGGAGTCATCTGAAGCAGTGCCCCTTCCCAGGAGGCCGAAATGTGGCCGAAACTTACCGGTAAAATCATTGATTTTGGTATTGTCGCCGAGGCCTCTTGGAGCGTCTTGGGTGCCTCCGGGGGGCCTCTTGGGGCCTCATGGGGGTCTCTTGGGAGCCTTTTGGGGGCATCCTGGGGGCCTCTTGGGAGCATCTTGGGGCCTCCTGGCCACCTCTTGGGGCCCTGTTGGGGCACCCTTGGGGGCCTTGGGGGCGCTCGTGGGGCCATCTCGGAGGAGATCGATCAAAGAAGGGGGGTTCCTTAGTTACCGCCCCCCTCCACTGGATGCCAAGATGGGGCCAGAACCATTGTAAAACCCATGATTTCGGCTTCCTCGCCGAGGCCGCTCTGGGCGCTCCGACATCTCGAGCGCCCGCCCGCCCAAGTCCAGGGGGGGGGGGGTAGGGGGAAGGGGTCAAATTTCCTGCAAGGAGCAAGCCGTGTAGCTCACTCCCACCCGCCCTCCCAACACATAAGTAACCCCGGGCCAAAGGACCAAAGGTTTGAACCCCCGAAGGTCTCTGTCAAATACCAATGCAAAGGTCCCGACGGGACATTCGCAGTCCCGCCAGCTACGGCTCGAGTGCGACAGGAGAGGCGGGCGTGCCCGCGGACGGCGGCCGCGCGTGGACGGCGGCCGGGGCGAGCACCTGGGCGGGGCGCCGACTGGCGGGGCGGGCGGGCCTCGGAGCCCGCGGCGCTTCTTGGGCTTCCCGGATGCCCAGGAGAGCCTCTTGGGACCATCCTGGACGACCACCCGCGGCCAGAAGGCAGGTGGGATCTGCCGGCGCCCCGGCCGTTCCTGTAAAATATCAAAGTGGTCGCGGGGCGGCCGCGCATGTTCTGAATGTGGAGGCAGAGTGTGTTTGGTAGTGTTTTTTGGACAGGGATGGTGGTGGGGGGGGGGGGGGTTGGCATTGTTCCGGGCTGGTCGCCGGCCGGGTGGGGGAGGGGGTGTTTTTATTAATAGAGAGCAGTGATAAACCCCTCCCCGGTGGGGAAGGAAGGGGGTTGGAAGAGGGGCCGCCTTCAACTCAACCACCTACGCCCGGAGGGCTGGTGGGATTTTGCAACAAGGGTTCCTATGGTTGAAATTCCAGGAATTGTTCCCAACCGTCCTGTGGTGTTGGGTCCTCGTTGGAAGAGACGGCGCCCCGCGTCTCCTCCTCTCCTCCTCTCCT